TTAGTCTGGGATCCTGCATGTCGAATGTTTGCAAGTAAATTTAAACCTACGCACGAAGTAAAAAAAAGTCAGCACTGTGCTCATGTTTCTTTCCTTCATGCGTACGTTTGAATTTAGCTGCAACAACTTGACATGCAATTTCGACCCTCCTCATTTGTCTCGTAGTTTGTCATTCAGGCATTGGATAACACTGCAGCCAAAGTTGTCACCTTAGTAGTTTTTTGTAGAGCACTCAAAATATATATGGGGGCACAAATCCACACGCTCCTGTCAGTCATGTTTACTTTTTTTTTTCAATTGTGGTGCTTTGTAACCTTGTCTTACTGGGTGTTGGTGTATATTCACTCAAGCTGTGTTGCTACTTTGACACACTATGTAAATTCCACAGCATCGTTGAAGTTGTCATCAAGGCGACATTATGTCCCCTGCTGCGACTTTGAACATGCAGTGAATAGGCGAAATAGCGCAGTTCAGGTAATTTCCTGCTGGGAAGTATTATATGTGTTCATCTATTTCTTGGTCTACATTTCTTGCTATACATTTTTTTTATTTGATTATACTGCAGGCTCACTCTGCACTTGCAGGAGTGGTTACATAACCACTAGTCATAACATAGTCGTGAACTGCCTTGTTTTCATATTCATATTTATTTCAGACAGCGACAAATAACAAAACAAAACGTACAGTATCAATTTTTATGAAAGGGAACGCGCGAGTGCGTGGCCTGCGTCCTGCTGGGGCTGCCTACAACACGATCAGACAGCAGATAAAGAAAGCACGTCTGCTTTTGGCGGCATCGCCGGTTGTGAGGCCAGAAAGGGAGCACAATTCAGCAGTGCTTGTCCAATGGTCATGACTTGTTGTTTCTTTTGCTAACAGATGACTCGAAAAGTGGATGCACTTTTTTGTCTGTTGATGGTGCTGTAGGCAGCTGCGACAGAACGCAGGCCACGTGCTTGCCTGTTGTCTTTCATAAAAATTTACACTGTACATTTGTCCAGTCTAGGAGGGGGACAGAAAGGCATCAATGCCTGTCACACCCCTTTCTAGACACACATAATTCAAACAACAGAGGCCATTACATGAGAAAAAATTAGTACATGCACATGATTACATATACTATACATATTTGGTAATACATACGATTATACGAATATAATACAGGCACATAAAAGAACAACAAGAATATAAAGACAGAAAAAAAAGATAAATATTTCTGAACTAATAGAAAGTATGCAGCTACCTTTTTTTCAAGCAAGTCCTGCACATCATTTCTTGTACCATATTTATGATGGTAGGGTGACGACTACATAAGATAGTTTTTGCATGCCAGAGTTAGTCTGTGAAAAACCTTTGTCATACATGGTTGCCTTAGTTTAGGGTGTCTTTTCCACAAAAATTGTTGATGAAAGTAATATGTCATAACTTTATTTTCTGAAATATTACAATGCTTATCCTCTTTTCAAGTGTGTGTTGCATTGTTAGTATATTTTTGGAAAGTGGCGTGGAGTGACTTGTGAAGGCACATTTTCAATAACTTGCAAAAAAAAGTTTTTGTCGCATATACAGCCTACTAATATTTATTTTTATTATTCTTCATATAAGGAGACAGTATTGTAAATAAGAATAAATTGGTGCTTAATGTAGCTGACTTTTTTAACCACCATGGCAAAATCTTTTTACTCTACTTATCATACCTATTGAAGGGGAGATGCCTCTTGTAAGGTTATCAGCATGAAGGGACCAGCTGAAGTTTTCTTAAAAAAAAAAAAAAAACGCCAAGAAATTCATGCATTCTTCCACACTCAATAATCTCGCCACGGAATTTAAAGTGTACATCATTCTTGATTTACTAATTTCTGGAGTGGAAAATTAGATATTTAATTTTCTTGGTACTTAATGCTAGTTTATTTACGATAAACTACTCAGACAAATTATTGAGCCATTTATTAGCTCCTGGGCTATTTCTGCGTAATACACAAAAGCACCATTTCACTATATGCAAACTTTTCCTCTTTGCCCTAGGGCTTTCTAGCAAAGCACATGGAGCAGCTTTGGGGTACATTTGGAAAAGACAACAGTTGGGCATGCCAAGCATTGGCACTGGTTCTGGCAGTTGGGACAACTCCTACCACACCAACGGTAATGTTGTCTTTGCACCTGCACTCTGCTGGGTGTAACATAACTCTTCAGGACCAGAGTGAACACGTGTAAAACTCTTCTTTTGCTGGCTGAAAAAAAATGTCACTTTGAAAGAAATGGCAAGGAGTTTAGAGAAAGTCGAATTGACAGGTTTGCTGACACACAGCAGTAACTTCAGTTGTTCAGCTGTATATCAAAGAACAAATGCAGGAATGACAAAACTGATGAAGATGGCAGAAATTAGGGCAACAAGTGTCGACATGTAAATTCAGAAAAGAAACTAAAACATAGAATCGTATTCATCTGGGAAGGGAACCTGAAAAAAAAAAAAGAAAAAAAAACTTTGTTAATATGTGACAGCAACGTATGTGTAGCTCTTCGTTCAATTTAGTATGCATTTGATTCAATTTGTGTCTGACGTGCCCTTCACTTTTTACATCATGGCTCAAGTTATGTGGGATGACCTGAATATGTATTTTTTGTTGAACTGACATCGTGCATCTTTTGTCGTTTTATCTCTTTATCATTGGCAGGGAAATGGCTCTGATGAACCAGCAAGAAGTTTACATGAAGTGTCATCATTACTAGGATCCATGCATCTCATGACTCCTTTGGCAGCAGCAGCAGTGATGCAGTCGCTACTGGCAAACTTTGGGGGTTTTCTGCCACCAGCAGTAAGTTTTCTTATCTGATTGCAGTGGTGGGAAACATGCGCCAACTGGAAATAGCTGTGCCATACTGCTTCTAAGGTTTTTTTTTTTTTGTCGAATACGCACCATTGTTGCGCCACAAGGTGGTTTTCGAACTGGAAGTAATGCTTACAGCATGCATCTGGAGCAGATATTATGTGAAGGTCGCGATTTTGTACATTTCCACTATTGTATATGTGCTGCTGCATTTGCGCAGTGGTGGGAAACCTGCGCCGACTGGAAATTGCTGCGCCATATTGCTCCAAAATTGCCTTTTTTTGTCTAATTTGCCCCATTGTTGTGCCAAAAGGTGGTTTTGGAACAGAAAGTAATGTTGACAGCGTGCGTCATGAGCGGATATTATGTGATGGTCGCCATCTTGTACACGTGCGCTGCGGCAAGAGCACTGAATCGGCTGATCAATTATTGCAATTTCCGCGCGAATGCAGTGCTGCCTTTCTGGCAACCATGGGTAAAGAATGAAGTAATTGTTACCAAAAAACGCGTCAGTATGGCTTATCGCCAACAAAAAGCCTACGTGTGCGGTTTAGTGCCACTTTAAGCCTACTGCACGCTTTTAATAGGCGGCGACTATCTGAGGCGTCGATCGCTGCCGTCTGAATGGTTGTGCAGGACCATGCTCAGCATACACTGCTTTGCAGAAATGAAAGCAGCTCGGTGTTGAAGAGTTGAGCATTGTGGATTGCGGGCACCGAGACAGCAAGTGTAGCACACGCTATCATGAGGCGAAAACCCAAACACGCCTCCGCCTGCTGCTAAGACTGCTATAGCATCGCTTGACGAAAGCTTGCATCGTCAGGTTAAGGCAACAAGCTTCTCACTGCATCTGTGCAAGGTCTAAAGGAGAGTAGGCGCAAGCGGCTCGATACGGTGTGTGCGCCAAGTAGGCGAAATGCTGCACGCAACTAACCAGTAGACGATCGGCTCCCTGCGACTGTACCGCGTCTCAAAAAAGCTGTCTGTTTTCGCTAAGTAGCAGATCGCGGTACACATTTATCGCGGACAGGCATTCATGTTTGTTTCGTCTCTATGCCAGTCGCTGCGTATCCCGGACTCCACAGTAGTTTCGAAATGCTGTCAGTTTACGTTGAGGCTTTTAGCGAAAACTGTCAGTTTTCGCTGAGTAGCAGAGGGTACACATTTGTCGACGATAGCCAATTATGTCTGTTTCGTCGCTATGTCACTCGCTGCTTTGGCTGCGTATTGGAAATATTCGAAAAGTTTTGGTGTCGCCACCGTGTGCCATCGGATGGTTGTGCGAGAATGCCAATAATTTCTGAACATTGGCAAAAAGGAAGAAATGGTTTCTCGGTGGACACTTTAGGAAATATTTGCTAGGCACTGTATTCATTTCTTCTTCAGCGGTGACGGCACACGTAAAGAAATGCAAATTGGCAAGTAGTCATTGGCGTTTGCACAGGGGGGAAGGGGGCTGGGGCAAAAGGGAAGTGCAGTCAGCCCCATGCATCAACATGGCGGGGGGGGGGGCAACAAACATTCTGAAGGGGAATCCTGCACACGCTTATGTATTCAGTGGTCAATGCATACTATGTTTATTGTGTAGTAGTCGTGTTCTCGGCAGGTTTTTGGCATGTATGTACGTATTAACGAGGTTTTACTGTAACGAGCTTTAAATGTGTCTGCATGTGTGTGTGTGAACGCGCTTCTACGAACTTCATGTTGCAGCTAGCTCGTTGGGGCAATATCTTTCGCTATCTTATGTCACTGCTTCTGTACAAAATCCTACCTTTGTTAATTTTTTGTGATTATTTTGTGGGCTTGTTGTTTTTGTATAAATGATTATTTAAACTGAAGGAACAATAAACTAAATTTAAGTCAAATTCGCCTCCTCTTTTTGTGTCATGGAAAGCCCATGCGTGCTCCAAACACAGAGGTAGCTGCTCCAAAAGCAAATTTTGCCTGATCCAATAGTTTCTTCAAAATGCTGGAAGGAGTTCCCACCGTTGCGATGGCCTTAACGAGTTTCATAAGCTCATTGTAGTGCCGTGGTATTCTGTGCTAGCCGTAATACTTGAGTATATTGTGTATTAATTTGAGCGATTGCTCTTAGTTCTGGGTCTTGAGGTGAAAAATATAGAGTAGAAAAAGGACATTGCCCGTTTGCTTCAAAATACCATTCTGTAATCTTAAGTGCCCAAAGAAACTCTCCTTGACTTTCTGCAACGTTTTTATGTCTACCTTCTGTAGCACATGAATGTGGACAGCAGGGGGTCAACGAAGTGTTTCTAACACTGAAGCTGTTTAAGCTGGCTGTAAAAACTGTGGTGCCCGTGGACAACAGGTGGGTACAGGTGCAACAGGAATTGGGCTGCCCCCACTACCGAGTATAGCAGCCTGTGCGAGCGTTAATGAAAACTCTGCTCGGGGATGTGGAGCACGTGAAAAAGAGAAAGGGAAGTGATAGAAAAAGAGAGAAAAATAGGAAAATCAACGAAGAAAAAGGAAAAAGAAGAAATAAAAAAAAGATGGAAAAAACAGCAACTCTGAAAGAAAAACTGATAGAAACAAAGTGAAAGAAAGAGACATAAGAAGAGAGAGAAAGAGGAACAAAAAGAGAAAGAAATAGAAAGCAAGAGGCACCATAAATGGGTACCAGGAACGGAGAGAAAGAGAGAAAAAAATTGGAGAAAAAGGGTGGCCCACTCAGCTTCTTTCTTCGTTCATGCCAGCTGCCATGATAATTTTTTTTTTGGTCTAGTTTCATTCCAGTGAAAAAAGTTGTGTTCCTGAACAACAAAAAAAGTTTTGTGACTGTGCCTCGAGCGTAAGGGAGAGTTCTCTATTTGCGCACCTCCCCCTTAGAAAACACTGACACCCAAAAAAAAAATTTTATATCTAATTTTTTATGTTTCAATTAGCAGTTAATGACTCGTGGCCTCAAGTGCATGGTGGCTAATTTTTTTGGATAATGTTGTGTAGCACCAAATCACAGTTTTGGTTTCAAAGAGTGCTTAGTGAGACCGCACCCAGAATGATTTTTGTGTAAACATAGCTGGCTATGTGGACACATGAAACTGCATCCACATGAGTATCGTGCAGACAACCCTTTTCAGTGAAGGCTCCCTCGGTGCTCCTATAATCCCCCCCAAAAACACAGTGCTTTGGCAGGTTTGTACTACCATGGAAGTATTTTCCCTCTTTACATTGAAAAAGAATGCCAGGAGAGGGCACTTGCAATGATTGTGGCAGCCCACACAAACTCGTGATGCATGTGGTAGTTGGTTGTCTACACGAAAAGCAATTTTGCTATTGCTGTGTGGTTCATTTAAGGATCCTCTCTTCCTTCTTTCAGTTGCTGAAACTGTGCTGCACTCAGTTTTCCTTGTGCTATGAACTGCCCTTGGTGCAGTTGATGCTAACTATGCAGGTAGGTGCCTGTTGAGAGTTCTGGTGGTGCATATTTCAAAGGCTGCCTTACTCAGCCTGTTGGTTTGATTATGCAATGGAACCTGTAAGGTGCTGTTTAGGGAGCATATTGCGTGCATAGCCGCGTGCATAGCTGCAATTAGCGGCAATACTATAGAAACGGTTCTTCGACTTGGTTACAATAGCAGTGATGCAGGCACATCTGATTCTAGCCAAAATTGTTCACATTTGCAATATGCTCGACTCATAGTAGCAAGCAGCACCAATAAACAAAGACAGGCACACAGGAGAAAATGACGGGAATAAGCACCTGTTCCCCTCTTTTCTTCTTTTGTGCGTGTCTTCTGTTTTCATGCTTCTTGCTTCCGTGGATCCATACCAATTGGCCCAGCTATCTACACTTATGCTCGATACACTGTTTAAAAGTGTTCACATATATTTGTTCACGATAAAAGGCTTTTTTTTGCATTGTAGACAGGCTTTAAGGAACAGTCCAACCAATGTCATGTAGGCCTGTTCAACGAGGAAGCACAAGTCTTTTCATATGAAAATCGAAAAACTGAAGAAAACTGTTCTTTTTCTCATCATGGCTAGAGCCAAGGTGGCTTGCTGTGTGCTCAGACCTCTGAATCTGAGAAAGCTGAGGCAGGGAGCTTGCATTAGAGGTGCATACAAAATTGTGGAGTCAATGAGAATTTCTCTAAGACAACAGCAGCATGTGTATTTTTTCATTCATCATAATATTTGAACTATTGTATGTGCATAAAGTAAGATTGTGTATGGGTGCACTTATGACAGTAAAGTGCTTTTCTTTTGGCTGTGGCCAAGGTGTCATGAAATAAGTGAGCATGAATATGGCCGTCTTATTTTCTTTTAATGCTATCATTTAATAGTAATATGGGCCGGACACTGGTTAGAATATTGTATCAGCTTATGACATATTTCGAATGTTCTAGAAACAGGCACGCCAGATGTTCATCACTGTTCTGGGGAGATATTTGCTTAGAGGTGACATTTCTTGGTACATACAGTTTGACCTTTTCACGACCAAAAAAATAAAATAAAAAAAAAGTTGTACCGGTTTACTTGAATTTGTTCACACAATTGATATAGCATTTTTTTCTTGAATAAAATGGCACCATTTGCTGTTAGCTTGTTGTACTTTTGAAATATTTCAAATTTTTAACTTCAACTGTAATTATCTCAAAACATGTTTTTTTTTGCACTCATTTTTCTTTATCTCAGCAACCACAGAACCTAGAATTGCAGATTTTAGCCAGTATTTAGATAATTTAATTGGCAATATGCTGAAGGAGACTTATTGTTGTGTGAAGAATCGCTCTTTTTTTAACACAACTAATAGCTATTACCGAGTGATGATTAGGTATAAGTTAAACATTTACAAAAAATTAGCGTTGCAACTTTTAGTACTAAATCTGCTTCACTCAAAAAAGGAATGGCTTATGTTCACAATGATAGTAATATAATTATTGTAACTTTTATGCTATGGAGAAAAAGGTACTTACACTTCGGCTAAAATACATAGCAGGAAAAACGCTTACTCTTCGCCCTTAAAGGTGAAGCTTAAGGGTCCCCCCATTTTCGTTGTCTTCATGAATGTAGTCATCATTGGTTACATTCGTACACAATTTTGTGTAAACTATACTTGTCAGCAGTTATCAAAGGGTTAATACCGTTTATTTCAGAGCTTCACTGCGTCACTTGTTTTATTCAGAAATAAATTTGAACCAGACATCACCTGCAGCTTTGGAATTGTTGAGTTTAGCTGCAGTGTTGCTGTGCAGTATTGCTGAAGCAAAACCAGAAGCATGCCACGTGCTCCAGCTTGTGCTGAATTCAGTATGTGGCTTTTATGCTCATCTGTTGCACATTTTCGAAAGTTGTACTATTAGAAATTTTTTCTCTGGGCATGTGAAAGTAGTATTAAGCAGCATATGTGCATTAAAATGCAGGGCGAGTTCTGTAAGGAGGACTGGTGGCAAGCGCTACGATTGGAAGTCATTCAGCGGCTTGCAGATGGTTTGCACTACCCTGAGAGCCAGCAAGCCTTGAAAATTTCGTGGCTGGGATCGGCGTTGTCACAAGTGGTGGGTGGCCTTTCTTTCTTTGTGTGTGTGTGCGTGTGCGTGTGTGTGTGTGTGTGTGTGTGTGCGTGTGTGCGTGTGTGTGTGTGTGTGTGTGTGTGTGTGTGTGTGTGTGTGTGTGTGTAAGCACTACATCTTACCGCTTTTGGAACCAGTAATGCTGATGTTTTTGTTGGCATCCTTATGCAACTGTAAACAACTGGTTATGTGAAACTCGAGCGACATTTCAGTATGTGTCTGTGTACAACACTTGTACATATCTTTAGCGACATTTAATAACGTTTCGCTTAACGAAAAAATTGCTACTCAGTCACCTTACCTCCGCATGCTTCTTATTTATAAAATAACATTCTCATGGTACTTGGTATCTGCTGAATATTTCAGATCTGAATTTCAATTACCGAAATTCTCTCAATAGGAAACCACTAACTTTATTTGAAGGAAAAGCTTCACTTCAGAGGCAAAGTTAACTTTGCCAATTATCGATAGCAAAATCTTGATCTATAGCATCGTGTTTACTGTAAAAAGTTGTAACTTGCTAGTAGCTGAGTTTAATAAGTTATGTGACATTTTTTTGCACTGCCTGGGTAATCTAGTGGCCAAGGTACTCGGTTGCTAACCCGCAAGTCGTGGGATCGAATTCCGGCAGCGGCGGCTGCATTTTTGATGGAGGCGAAAATGCTCTAGACCCGTGTGCTCAGATTTGGGTGCACGTTAGAGAACCCCAGGTGGTCGAAATTTCCAGAGCCCTCCACTATGACGTCTCTCATATTTGTATGTTGGTTTTGGGACGTTAGACCTCGCATATCAATCAATAAATCATGTGACATTTTGCCTGTGCAAAATAAGACTAGACATAGATGTTTGAAACACTAGTCTATTGTGCCCCATCGAATTTCACACTAGTAGCAACGCACTGTGCAGGGTGTTTAATAAAATTTGTCCGAAAACGGTAAAAAAAGTGAAAAAAAAACAGCAACTATAACAACAAAAAACGCATGGTCTCTTCTGCACTTAAGACTACTTAAATGCAAAAGCCATTTTTGTTTTCTTCAGTCTATTCCCCCCCTCCCGCTTTAGAAGCATTGCAAGCCTTTTGCACCTGACCAGGTTTCGCTGTCTCTGTGAGCGGCCCATTTTTGATCAAGCAACGATGTAATGTGATGATGCCACGGTGACGGCAGAAAGCCCGGTGGTTCGTGATTAAACGACGACGTCATATGGTGGTGTTATTATGCATCTTTCATATTGACGCAACTAATGTGGGATGCTGATCTCGTAAATGGTCAATTCTCGCGTTCTAGAAGGCATCTAAGGCTGCCGCCTTAATAAGGACAATGCAATATTTATGTGCTGCTCTTATAATTAGTCTTTTGGGGTGATATCTTTAAATGACTAGAGCCAGTAATTACATCATTGGTTACAAGTTAACATACATAATTGGCTTGTTATACGAGAGAGGGGGGAGGGTTAAATGGGAGATGTCCTTCTGGCAAACAGTCTCTTCGAGATCCCTGAGAAGTGGCTGTTGGTAACTTTTGTGGAGTGATCAAATTCGGCCAACTTCAGTAGATCCTGTGAATGATGACACTGTTTTGACAGCAATTGCAGTGGTGGCACTTCTTTTGCATTTGTTAACCTGTGTCCCATGTGGGCTATCATGGCAAGCACAGCCTGAAGACCTATGAAGTGAAGTAGATCGAGGAGGTGACACAGAATTGCTTATTCTGGACGTCCCAGAAGAGTATAGCAATTGCACGCTCCGGTGTTGTAGTTTTGGTTTCGCCGCTGAAATTGGTAGAATTATGTTTTTCCACAAAAGTTATTGACTGCTGTTTTGAAAACTCAAAGTCACCCACAGCTGGTTCTGTGCGATGCTCCTTTTTAGTATCAAAGCACACATTGGCCATTTTGATTGCAAAACCAATGTAATGCAGTAACAAATTGGCAGGTACAAAATATGCGCCACATAAATCTTGATGTGTTGTGAGCCACAAATTACATGACCCTCGTGCTTATTGTTGTATGTTTAAACAGCCAGTATCATCTTTCTTCTCTCCGGTTGCATAGTTATTTAATTAGTTATATGCACGTGTTACCAACTACGCTCGTATCAACTGCTGGCGCTCGTGTCACAGCGGCTTTGGAAATTGCACAAAGTTCATTATGTGTGCCATGACTGGGACTATAGTGCTGCTACTGCGTGTGTCCCTCTCTCACTAATCGCAGCTTCTTTATGGGCCGATGTGGCGTGATGGTTTTGTAAAATGAAAGCTGCAATGCAAATTTTCTCGTCTTAGTTGATAAATTAGGTGCTAGTGCGAGTAAAATAGGAGTGAGTTTCATTCATCCAAACCACTTGCGGAACGCTATATATAATGCCCTTCTCCAAGGAATCTAGTCAATGAATAGACAAGCCACCAAATGAGTCATTCCTAGGGGTTATGTATAAGATGTGTGCTGACTGCTGTCAAGTGTACTTCGGTGAAACAGGATAGTTCTCCTGATGCCTCGAGGAGCATCAACGTGGCATCACTATTAAGTCACATGACAAATGGCATTACTTAGCGTGCGCATGACTATAATCACAGCATTGACTGGGACAATGCCACTGTCATCGCCAAGGAAAAGAACATGTGACTCTGCCAGCTCCTAGAATCTCTTAATCATCTAGTTGACACCAGCTACAGTGAATAGGACAACAAGGACTATGCCTGCTGTCTACACACGCTCATTGCATCACCTACTGGCTGCATAATTGACGACTTCTAGTCTAGCTCAGTCAAGTAAGCAGTTCTGAAACCTGTGATTATGTTATCAGGCGATGTGGTCAGTGAGTGTGTTTCATCTCAACCCCTTGCCCTTCAAGGAAGCTGTGCGTCCAGTGAAACCCTGCTTGAAAACCCGTGCTTATCGCTCATTGACCTGTTGTGTGACAGCGGGACACATATGTCCGACTTTTCGTTCAGCAAAAAAAATTTTCTGCTACACCACCTGTTACAATTAGCACAATGCTAAGTGACTCAGATATTACCTAAGTGTTTATAGTATCGAGGAAAATTCTTTCATCACATTTTCGTAGAGGATATGTAGTGTTACAATAACATTGAGTTTCGGTCAATTTTTATGGTAGCCTCCGGAGTTTTCTTCTTCGAAAAATTGACCTACCAATCAAAATGTCGAATAATTTCCTCTTCTTGTTTTTAACTGCTAGTTATCACGTGTTTTTGTAAGTTTGCACAATAACTTGACCAATAAATGCATCTGAATGATCCCCTGCATAATCATACCAATCATCCCGTAGCATGCTTGAGGTGTGCGGAAATATTTTTTTTGATATCATATACCTCTTCATAAGTAGGCACTTCAACAACTACATGACTGTTTCAACAGCAAAAAGCAAGAAGAGCCAAATGAACAAAAAAGAAGGGTGTACACGTGTGGTGAAGTAAGCTTTACGGGAAAAGACCCAAACTCTATGAAGGCTCGCAAGAGACACAACTGCAGCTGGTGTTCTACTGCTGGAAATGAGGTCTGCACAGCTTTCCTCTTCACCACTTCAGAGATGATACCTTGTGCTGCTTGCTTCAGCCGTTTTATTGCAAATATGCGTTGATGCAATAGCGAGATAGTGCCTTCATGAGACATTGGGACAGTGTTTTCCCACATTTGGAAAACGCTCTCACAAGTCAATGGGATATTGTCACGGCTAAAGGCCGGGCAAGAAGACAGAGGACGACGAAGTGATGAGCGTAGACAGCACCCATGGTTCCTCCGAGGAAGACGACGGCGAAGCGGCCACCCCGCCGCGGTGGTCTAGTGGCTAAGGTACTCGGCTGCTGACCCGCAGGGTGCGGGTTCGAATCCCGGCTGCGGCGGCTGCATTTCCGATCGAGGCGGAAATGTTGTAGGCCCGTGTGCTCAGATTTGGGTGCACGTTAAAGAACCCCAGGTGGTCTAAATTTCCGGAGCCCTCCACTACGGCGTCTCTCATAATCATATAGTGGTTTTGGGACGTTAAACCCCACATATCAATCAATCAACGGCGAAGCGGCTGCTCTTTTGTTCCGTTAATACAGACCTCGTTTTTCCTGGTCGCACCATCGTCCTGTATTCTGTTATTTTCACTTAGCGACATTGGTGGAGGTTCTGGACTTTTCCAACTGATGCTTGGGACACCTCTGCGCCCTGGCACATCGAGTCCGTCACCGCAACCTGTTCCTGCAGTGGATACTCCTGTCCACTGCTACAGTCGCCGACAGCGAGGCCTTTGTCCCGAGGTAATCCCGCTCGAACTTCTCCAGCAACACACCGTGCCTGGAGAAATGGCTACCGGAGGGCCTTCACATCTTACTGTTGATCAGCCTCTAATTCCTGAGACCTTCCACGGTGAGGTTTATGAAGACGTTGAGGACTGGTTAGCCCAGTATGAGCGAGTCGCCAAAGCCAACCGCTTTCCCATTCAACAAAAGATATTGCGCGTCTACTTTTTTTTGGTAGACAGCGCTCGTACGTGGTACAAGAACCACGAGTCAACGCTGTCTTTGTGGGGCAGCAAATTCTCGGGACATTCGCAAACACCGACCGCCGTGATTCTGCTCTGCAGCTCATCGAGGCACGCATGCAGATACCAAGCGTGAGCGTCGCCATGTTTGCGGAAGACATGGCCTGCCTTTTTCAGTGGGCTGACCCCGAGATGCCTGAAGGTAAAAAACTGCGACTTTTGATGAGGGACGTCAAAGAAGAGCTGTTTGCCGGTCTCCTACGCAACCCCCCAACATGCGTAGCAGAATTCGTCAAAGAGGCTGTGACAATCGAGCGAGCACTGCAGCAACGGCGCCGATACCATGACCAACCAAACGAGACATCACCTAGCCTCTCTGCTTTGACTGCCGGTAGTGAGTGTTCTCTGCGTGAGCTCGTTCGTGAGGTCATTCGGGAGGAGATTCGAAACCTCCTTGTGATTCTGCAAGGAAAATACCATGGCTTGCGTTGCTGAACTTGTGCGGCAAGAACTCCGCCAGGCATTTTCGTTGCCAGAATTGCTCTCAGACCAGCGGTCTGTAAGCTGCGCATCAGCTGTCAGTCGACCCACTCCAGTGTCGTACAACTCGTCACCACTGGCTTATCGTGACGTCAGCCAAGGGCCTTACAACGAGCCGTGGGCCCCAGCTCCCAATCCGCCGCAGCCGTATCTACAGTCTAACGTGCCTATGCAGACGTCGCCGATGTACACTACGCCGATATCTGGATCTTGGTCACAAGGTATGCCGACCAGTCGACCATTCATCTGTAAGACGAACTTGTGGCGCATCGTTGACCATCGACCACTTTGCTTTCATTGCGGAGAAGCCGGCCATATTTTCCGCAATTGTCCGTACCATGACCGTAGACATCATAACTTTCTACAAACCTCCCCTCATGCTTATTTCGATAACCGCCGTGACAGAAGTGTAGGCGAACTTGTGGCGCATCGTTGACCATCGACCACTTTGCTTTCATTGCGGAGAAGCCGGCCATATTTTCCGCAATTGTCCGTACCATGACCGTAGACATCATAACTTTCTACAAACCTCCCCTCATGCTTATTTCGATAACCGCCGTGACAGAAGTGTAGGCCCGTAAACACAGCAACTGGAAGTGTCGTATCATCGACTCCGCTCTCCTTCACCTGCGCCTAACTCGCCGCAGCAGCGCAGTTACTCCGAGGTGGTCTGGGGTAGATCTCCTAGCCCTCATTGGGGAAACTAACAGCAGCGACCTTTGGGGGGAAGGTTGCCGCCTGTCGAGATGCTATCACACCCCCAACATCTTCTACACGACGCGATACGATGAATGATGCCACGGATCGTACGACGCACGATATCAAGGACGATAAGACGTCACCGACATCAACGGAAATCGTAAGCGCCAATCTAGACATTTGTATAGACGGAGGCCCAGTAACAGCGCTGGTAGATACTGGTGCGGACTTCTCTATTATCAGCCGTAAACTCGCCAACTGCCTAAAGAAAGTTGAAACAATATGGACGGGCCCAAACATAAGAACCACAGGGGGTCAATTGGTGATGCCAACGGGCAAATGTACCGCTCGACTTAATATCGGCAGTTCAGATTTCGTCGCTACTTTCGTAATTTTACCGGAATGCTGCAAAGGCCTGCTTTTGGGCATGGACTTCTTGCGTGAATACGGAGCCATTATCAACATTCCTGAGAGATCGGTTACATTTTGGACGATCCCAGATCAAGTTTCGGATGGGCCCTGTACTGACCAGCGACGTCAACCTTTGCGCGTCTTCGACGACGACGTGACCATCCCACCGCGGTTGAGTGCACTCGTGGCTGTGACATGTGACACGTCGAGCAATTCTGAAAACATCGCCGAGCAAATTCCAACACTGCTATTCAGCCATGGTTTATCTATCGCAAGAGGCGTCGTAAGCATAAAATGCGGACACACGCACATCCTTTTAACGAACTTCAGCTCTGAATGCCGACATCTAACGAGGGGCATGGCAGTCGCGTACGGGGTAGAGCTCGCCGAGATGACAGACTGCCTAACTCTTCAAAAAGATAATTCAACTGATCTGCCCCCCGCACCTCAATCTGTTGATATTGGCCCAAGTTTGCTGCTGGCGCAGAAGCAAAGTATCATGCAAAGACGACGTCGAAGCGGCTGCTCTTTTGTTCTGTTAATACAGACCTTGTTTTGCCTGGTCGCACCGTCATCCTGTATTCTGTTATTTTCACCTAGCGACAATTTATATGTCCCCTTTTTCTTTTGGTAAACTACTCGCTTAATTTTTATGTTTGCATCATACTGTTTCTTTGTAGTTTATATTAATATATCGCAGCTTATTTTGTATAATTGTCTCCACTACGGCATCTCTCATAATCATTGGGTGGTTTTGGGACATTACACCCCATATATCAATAAATCGATTTTGTATAATTGTGTAGAAAATATAGCTGATCTATTGAAGGGTTAAGTGATTGTCATAGGAGGTCTAACAGAAATGTAAATACATATAATGTATGATGTTTTATTCAACAAAGTCTCATCTTCATGCCATGGTGCAGCTGGTCTTGTTGTCATGCCATTGTGTTGCATCATAGATGTCGACATTGTTGCTGTTGTGTCAGTTTTGTCACCATGATGGTGTGGTGTTTGTTTTTATAATCATTGAAATTACTGCCATGAAGTTGGAAATGTTGATTTTGTGATAATTAAGCATGCAGTAGACGTAGAACCACAGTGCTAGCATTAGACATGATCTTCACTGGTAATGTGACCATTGTAGGCTGGCCACCAGCCCAATGCTTCTCGGCGCCTGCTGCCCGTACCACGAGATAATGTTACGCAACAGGGCCTGCGGCTCCAAGCTACATTAACAGCTGGCTTTGATATCTGGGGAGGACCTGGTGAGAACACCAAAGATGTGGAAACTGATTCTCTTGGTTCTTAGGTTTTTTTCATGTATTGTGTTCATTTACTACATATTTTCCGCATTGTAGTAATGAAGAACGAGACAGTATCAGAACGATGGGTTATGAGTGTGGTTCTTTATTGAGGGAACTTGTGCCCACAAAAACAAGTAGCATACTAAGCATACCGATACATTAAGCACAATCATCATTCGTCGAAGCGTGATCTAAGAGTCAAGTGTGCTGACTTTTTAAACTTTTTGTTGCACATTGAAGCCTGCTAGTGTATGTTTGAGAATGCAAAAAACAATATTCACATCATGCACATATGTTAACATTTTTTTTCCGGCGATATTGAAAGGCACATCAATGATGGCACATCAGGAACAGTAAACACTTTCTTGGTACTGACTGCAGTTGGTGTTAAGTCAGGGAAAGGAAGCACAAAAGGTTGTATTGATGCTTTGAGGTGAGCTTGAAGAAAAAAAATTGGCGAAGTGTGTACTAAGCCACACAAGCCTCAACAGCAAGACTGGGTGAATTTGAAGACTAATATGGTTGTCTCAAGGTTGTTTCTAGGCCTTTTCATTCATCATCATCAACAGCCTGACTACGTCCACTGCAGGCCAAAGGCCTCTCCCATGTTCCGCCAGTTAACCCGGTCCTGTGCTTGCTGCTGCCAATTTATACCCGCAAACTTCTTAATCTCATCTGCCCACCTAACCTTCTGTCTCCCCCTAACCCGCTTGCCTTCTCTGGGAATGCAGTTAGTTACCCTTAATGACCAGCAGTTGCCCTGTCTACGCGCTACATGCCCGGCCCATGTTCATTTCCTCTTCTTGATTTCAACTATGATATTCTTAATCCCCGTCATTTTCATTGCTAGGCCTTTTCATTGCTAGGCTCTAGCTAGGGTAAGGGTTCTCAGTCATGGATGTGTCGGCGACCCCTTGTGGACTGGTGGAAGTGATGGGAGACCCCTAGCAGTTGAGTGGAGAGAGGGGCGGGGGCGGGGGCATACATAGGGAAATAACACAACTGGAGCGTGAAACAGGTGCCTTTTATTGCTATCAAAAACGTCTAACGAACGTGCCACGTCACTTCATTTTGGACAGTTCATCAATACGCTGCACAGTCACGCTTAAAGAAAAATGCGGGTGTGGGTTTCTTGGATCATAGAAATGGCTTTGCGGACCCCCCATTTGAGAACCACTGAGCTAGGGGATGGTAGGTTGCTTCTACATTGATTCTCAGCACAGACAGCCGAGTTAAACAACACAGGCATGATTTGGGCACATAGTTTTTGAGTTTTTGGCATTGCTTTGGGGTTTTCTCGCAGCCGCCGTTGCCTTTCCCATTCCCGAGTTCCGTATTTACTCGATTCTACTGCGCCCTCCATTGTAACGTGCAACCGGTTTCCATGACGAAAAAAAAAAAAAAGTAAGACATCGACTGCAACCCGCACCCATTTTTCTCGATTGCCCACATGATCACACCACTCGGGAAAACGACTCCCTGCGAGAGTGTCTTCTGTTGAAATATGAGGTACGGGGGAAGCTTGTGCCTATCTGACGTGCAACGGAGCATTGCCGTCACTTTAGTTTTACCGTGGCCCGATGTCAGCACGCGAACTTGCTTCGCCCCCTTCTCGACGGTTGTGGTGCCAGGCATGTCGAAGTAAACAGGCGTCTAATCGGCATTCCCGATTTGCCCAAGCAGGTAGCCGTTGTTGTGCCACAAGTTTAGGACGAACCTCTGAAAACTGCGAAGCTTTTCATCGAACTCCTTCAGAAACTTTTCGCATATGCCCGTTCGCCTTCGAAGGGAAAAGCCTTTCCTCTTCATAAAGTTAGTTAGCCTGCACCTGCTCGCTTTAAACTGGCTCGGCATTAGCCCTTTTTCTAAGGCTAACTGGATAGCCTGCACTTGGAGCAGTTCTTTCGTCACGGGCCACTGTGCCACTCACTGCTCAATCACGTACTCGCCGAGCAGCTCTTCAGTTTGCGAAAACCGACCCTGCTGTGGTTCAATGAAGCCTTTGCGTGAATCTTTGCTGTCGACAATCTTCTGCTTTTGTTTCCGCCAGTCCCGCACGCACGTTTCGGGAATTCCGAACGACCGCGATCCGGCCCGATTTCCGTACGTTACGGCACACGCGATGACTTTTCTTTTAAAAGCGGCATCGTGGTGCACTCGTCGAGTTTTTCGAGTCTGCCCGTCCATGCCGTCGATGCTAATGCACTACAAGATGATGAACTCCTCAGCACACGTACGAAGTGCCGCACATGGGAAACACATAGGCGGAAATGGCCGACGCGCCGTGCCGACGCACGTAGGGGGCGGCCATTTTGGAAATGCCGATGGCAATAGAATGACCGTATTCATTTTTTTTTCGTACGCGATTCTAACGCGCATGCGATTTATGAACTCGCTTAATCGGAAAAAATCTGCACGTTAGATTCGAGTAATTACGGTAAGTTCTTGTTCCTACTGGGGTTTTTGGCTCACTGCCATTGCTTCACAATCATTTGTTGGGCTATTTCCTTCTTCGTTTTTAGTGGAGGTAGTCGGATTCACCCAATATCTATAGTGTACCCATTTACGATGGTAATAGTTTTCTAATCGGCTGCACAAATTTCTGTGGCATGTTGAGCTAACTGCTGCCTTCTTCTTCTTTAGTGCCCCACTGATGAGTAGAGGGTTTTACCCATTTCTGTGGTGCATACCTGTTCATTATGGGGATGGTCTTATTGTATGTGGGGAATAAGGAATGATTTGCTGAACGCCTGTTAAATGTTGAAGCATGAAGTAAACACTTGAAGCTTGTTTGTCTGAAAATGTGGAACAAAAATTCTATGACCCATCTATACTCCTTGCAAGATTCCTTGCAGTGGTCCTTGCGTACCCTCAGAATGGCGGCAGTTACTGCAGCTGTAGGGTCGAGGGCCCGAATTCAGGCAAAAATATTGATGCCCATGTGCTGAATGTTAGCGTCATTTTGATGTCTGTATGTCAGTCATCATCGATGCTAGCCTCTTTGAAAGTGCAAGAGCGTAACAAGCAGTCAATGAAGTCTGCCAAAAATGCTGGATAAAGCTCTTATCACGGATCAGTGGTCAGTGCTGGTAAAATGACCCATGCTAACAGTCGGCAAAGGCATGCTATTCAAAAGTGTGCACCTGGTGCTCCCTGTAAGGGTGCTCGCACTTTCCCGTAACTTGTTTTTTCTCGTGGCATCTGAGCATTTTGCTGGTGGGCTTCACCGCGAAGCTGGCATGGCAGCCAGCTCGCATGCCGTGAATCTTGCTGGGAACGTGTTGCTAAAGACAGTTAGAAAGGTGCTGTCATGAACTAGGCTACCGCAATGAGAACAGAAAAGTAAGCCATGTACATTCAACACGGATATGGCCATTCAACTGAGCCTCACTGGTGTTTAAAGCAGGGCATCTTCTGGCTGCCTTTAAATAATTTCAGTTGCCTCAGGCCACAGAGTGTTTGCGACGTCAAGGTTGCACAATGTCTTCATAAACTTAGTGGTTTATCCGCAGGGGATATGTATGCAAGACAAAGAAATTTGGGAGGCTAATGCATGAGAAAGAAAAAAATCGCAGTATATCCACGGACTGAATGATGATGAGTGGGGCAAAGCGTTCGTTCGTCTGTTCATGCATTCGTCCGTCCAACCCTGGGTCCATCTGTCTGTCTGTCTGTATGTCCGTCCGCCTAGTGAACACTCCAAGTACTGCCATCTCGCATCTTTTCATCATACATGTCTGTCTGTCTATATGTCCTTCCGTCTAGTGAACACTCCAAGTACCGCCATCTTGCATCTTTTCATCATATATGTCTGTATGTCAGTCCGTCCAACCGTGGGTCGATCTGTCCGTCTGCGCGTTTGTCTGTCTGTATGTCCGTTCGTCTAGTAAACACTATAAGTACCACCATCTCGCATCTTTTCATCATATATTGATTATATACAAATACCGCAATCTAGCAGACATTTCAAGAACTAAACTCCCCTGTGGCATATACTCGAGAGATGTGGTTACTACAGAGGACGATCAGGTGATGTCTTAACTCTTTCATTACCACGCCTATTCAAATCTATCACCGGTGATCGATGATTTGGATAATCGATTCTAGCATGCTAAATATGTTTCTCGTGTAGCCAGCACTTTCTAGTAGTTAGTCCAGCCACTCAACTTTCAGAATCAATTTGAATTTGTCCGTTGGGCAACATGGTGATTTTTAACAGACCTTTGCACGAACCAATGTGCGTGTATTGCTGAAAAAGTGCACTAGACTGGCGAACTTGACAAAAGTGCGTGCCCCTCGAGATTATACTGCAGCAACATCGAAGTTATGTTATGAAAGGAACATTTGCAAACCAAATATCGAATTAAGGTGTCAGCTACGCAGTTTGATAATATTTAGCAGTAATAATTGCCAGAAATTCATGCTAGGTATTCGATAGACAGCTGTTGCTTGGAGTTGGGGAAAATTTATTCTACAAAAAATATTTACGATGGTCTGCCGCATGTTTAAAGTGTCGAGATGGCCTTCTCAGCCAGTTTCCAGCAGCTTTGGTTTTGATCATATTGTTATATCAGACACAGGGTCACATCTAGTCTCAGTGTGTCACTAGTCAAGCCTATGGCGCAGTCGTCACATAGGTGCACGTGGTGCACATAGGTGTGCACCAGCGCCGCAAAACACATGCACCGCTCCAAACCATCTTGCAACCGCCGCACCTGAATTGAGTGAGGACGAGCTTAAAATTTGAGGATGACAGCACCTCAACTTCAAGTTTTGTGGAGACGATGTTTTGCATGGTATAACTGTCAGTTCAAGTGCACGAATAAACAGAAAGGAAGAGAGGACAAGCGCTTTCTCGCAACTAAACAATTTATTAGAAACGGAAGAATATACTAACCGTTCTAATAAATCATTTAGTTGGGAGAAAGCGCTTGTCCTCTCTTCCTTTCTGTTTATTCGTGCGCTTGAACTGACAGTTATATCATGCATATCCAACTAGCCCAACTTTCGATTCTGTTACTATGTTTTGCGTCAACCTGAGACATCCACAGCCATCCATAGGTTTTTGTTTACGGCCAAAAGTTGTCTCTTTCGCTGCAAGTGTGTAGCTGCTGACTTTTGTGCACAATCTTATAGCTAGTCTGGTTATGTGCGAGGTCCGCACTTTGTGTGCTGGCGCCGGCTGTACAGCTTCTCCTAACAACAAGAAGGTTTCTAAAGCACATCCTGGCTCTATATACAGAGCAGCTCAAAACGTTTTAGAACTGCGTATGATATTGTATTTTTTTGTAATACGATGTGCAAAATGCTAAGAAATATGCTTGGACGCTTATATAGAAATGCCAACCTAAACGAAATGAGGTGGCTCATGGAAAGAAGCGACGCCAAACGAAATAGACGACTTTCTTTGTCAATGTGAATGGATACTTTGTGTTGAACATTTATTATTTTTTATACTGTTCCTGGATTGTTTTTCTTCAAAGTGTATATTCTGAATTTTCTTTATTTTAAATATTTTTGCACATATTGTGTTTTCTATTGCTCTGTTTACCTATTGGCAACCAAAAATTACACGTTTTCTACATTTTTATTCATTCCAAATTATTTTTGTTGCTCTATAGCATATATTTTTTTCAAAAGAGCATTTCAATGCACAAAATTTGGTATGCTGCAATGCGGGCTGGAGTACTTTTCGAACTGGCAAAAATGATGTTCCCGAGACATATGAAAAATAACCATTTCTGCCCGGTAAAGAAAGAGTTAAGGAGCTTAGCCCCTAAGACAACTCAAGCATGCTTTGGTTGTTCTTATCCACTTTTGGCTAGCTCTTGTGCAGTGTGGAAGAAGGAACTTTGGTTTTAAAAAAAATTGACCTGAGTGCACTTCACCACTTTAGGCTGAAATGATTCATGGTTGTGTAAGAGTAGTACTGTGTAAAACTGCAGCTGTCTTAGACCTTCTTTTATAATTTGGTTAATGTAAGTGTACTGATACCACAGTAGGGTACATATTTGGGATGGTTGGTTTATGATTTCAAGTAGGAAACAGCACTAAAAGACTGGAGGAGGAAAGTACACAAACCATGGCACTGACTAACAACCAAGTACCTACGTTTTATTCTTCGATTGAGCATAAATATATACTATAAACCCTCATGATCTTAATGAAACAGAAAAAAACACAAAAAAATGCGATGGATGTGCGTGTTCATTTCTGAAGCGTATGATATCTACAAAGGCAGCGAGGCATATGTCCCCTCTATATCCTTCCTCCTGAAGGAGTTAGCATTCCTGTCCCGTTGAGCATTTTTATTGGTTCTATGCAGACTGGATCATTTTTTTTTTCTTTTCTGTTTCTTTGAGATTGTGGTAGAGTATACCAATTGGCAAAGCGTGTACTTGATCACGCTCACTGGAAGAATAAAACAAACCTGGTTGTTAGTCAGCTTGTACACTTTCTTCCAGCCTTTTAGCATTGCTTTCTACTGGAACTTATTCATCTAGATTCACTTTCAATTTGCTGAAATACATTCTCTCATTCGAATGCGATGAACATTTTTTTTTTACTTCCAGAAAAAATGCTAGATGCTGTGATACCTTATCTGCGCGTTCTCAAGAGGCATGTTTGTTTAGCACCTGGACCTTTTGGCGTCCACTTACTATTTTATCTGCTGTATCGGCTGTATGCTGACTTGAGAAGTACTACCGTTGGGGCGTTGTTGACTGAGTATGTACAGTTTTATCTTCCTTAGACTGAACGAATTAATGAGTTAGAAAAATATATAAGGCGTATTTTTTGCCAACAGAGAAATTACACGTCTAGTCATCAACATCGCTATGCTGGGACCATTGTATTGCCGCAACCTACTGAATTTTCTCAAGTGCATCGAGACTCGCTTTCCTGAAAGGTAAGATATTGCAGATCGATGCTAGGTTTTGTTTTAATCAGACAGTTAAATATCTGGTGTCACAGGTTGTGAGCAAAAAATTGTGTCCATGACCAAAAAATCAAGATGCAAATACAATAATTTATAAACAATAAAAATTTCTGGGTCTGGGTGAGGATCGAACCCAGGCCGTTTGCGTGGCAAGAAAGTGTTCCACCACACAGCCGCTTGGCAGCTTCCAAATGTATGGAAAATAACTTTTATGCTTTACAAACACATGTGTCCTGTATACAGGCTTCACAATACAACATGAAATATCGCTGTAATATTGCGGTGTCCAAGCACACATTGCCGTCAGGTATCAGAATGTGATTATCATAGAGGCCAAAATTTTAGGCACTAAGAAAGTGTGTTTTAGGTGAGGTGCCAAAAATAGGCAGGTAAAAGACCAATTAGGCCTCCAAAATCGTAAATATAGGCACCATAAATTTTTACGTAAATTCAAATACTTGAAACTAAGACGTGGACGACCTTTATCTACGACAGGAAGCAAGAAATGATAGCACTAAGTCTTTTATGGTTTCACATAGCCATGCATTCCCCACACGGTTTGCAGAACATAGTCTTTCTTTTTATTGCCTAGCATGGCCTGGATCTCTTTCTTTTTGTTGTTGCTGAGAAGGGCAGCACAGGAGCGAATAGCCAGACCACTAATTGATCAGAAACAATCGCCTCATACTAGGTGAGTCTAATCATGTAGGGTTGATTTCCCCCCTGTCAGTGAACACCTTAAAGGGGCCCGGCGACAGTTTTTCTTCTGCACTCTGCAGCGCTGGAGTTTGTGTAGGGCCGAATACTCAGATGAACGCAAAAAGAATTATCGAAATCGCTACTCGGTAACAGCAGTTGTTAGCCTTCAAACTTGAAAACCTCGGCAGACAACGAGAAAAGAACATTCCCTTTAGCATTTCACTTTCCCACTGTCGTAAAAGGCCATTTCCAATCATTGCGTGCCTCTTGCAGAGACAAACCAGATGAATTTCCTCGCAGTGGCCATTGTGCAACACCCCTAGCGTCTTTTTGCAGTTGTTTTCACATTTTAATATTTAAAAAATTGGGGGACCCTAAAGCTTCGCCTTTGGGAGTTGAACGCGATAGCGACATCCTGTTCGTAGTGGGTACTTCAAACACTTAGTGCATGAAACATTTTCGAATTTGCTATGCACCCACTACGTAGCCTTAGGGAATAGGCGCAGTAGCGTATGTGCTTTTTGTAGTGGGGTACTGGCTTTCAGCCACGGAGCCATTATGATAATCACATATTCTGACACCCGTTGGCAATGGACGCTTGACCACGCATTCTTACTGTAATATTTGATGCTGCATTGTAAAGTATATACTGTGCAGGATGCGTGTGTTTGTGAAGCATGAAAGCTACTTTCACTGCATTTCTAAGCAGAGGAAGTTACTTTCACGGTTTTCACAAGAAGAGGCGTGGCCGCGTGGTAAAACATCCACTTGCCACGTAAACGACCCGGGTTTTATCCTCATGGACCCCAACAACACAGTTCGGTCCCAACTCTGCTCCAGGGTTTTTTTATCATTTATTTATTTTATTTGCATCGTTTTCGATTTTTCGGTCACGCATAAGATGATGATTTTTTGCTCACAATCAATGACATAGAAGTCGACACCAGAATTTCTCTAAAAAAAACCTCTTTAACGCTATAGCATTAAAACAGACATTCTTTTGTATCTGAGGAAGTATAAAGAGTGTTTTTATAATATTTAGCACTCAATAGTGTGGCCTATCTAAGACGGCATAAACATGCACGACTTGTCGCATTGAAGTAATCAAAATGCATGGCTTAAGTCGTCACTTCATGGTCAAGCGTCACTTCCAATCACAGATATAGGTGCAATGTGTCACTGTGGTCTGAAAACAGTGTGGTTTGTCCATAGAAATAAAATTACAACAGCTATGTTTTTGATGTTGCCACTTGCGCAACGATATCGGTGCGAGAAAAAGCGATCAAAACAACACACTCGATTTGTGTCGCAGGGCCCCTTTGAAGTGCCCCTCACCAGGTTTGAGCATTTCGAGCTGGAAAGTGTGTCACTTGGCTCTCATGATCACGTCTGCCAGGATTTGGAATGCTATGCGTCATGGAAAGTTGTGAAATTTCAAACTGAATGACTCTTGTCCTTGTACTTGTGGGCTTCACAGCCCGAGATGTAGGGAGTGGCATATAACTAGTAATGATCCTGCTCTTACGTTGCTCCTGTACATAGAAATTGACGGTCAGACATTGTCACTCACTGTGCACTCTTAATCGGGTCCCGGTTAAATACTGGCTGTATCCAAAAGAACAGCTGAAGAATGTCCAGTTTCTTGGCTATATCCAGCACTTTGAGTGGAACCTTATTTGAGAGCATAGCATGTGTTGATTGCGAAAATTATTTGAGGCGATGTGTAGTTTCTGTAATTTGTTATTCAGCAGATTGGAATGTGAGCACATTTTTATATTTCTTTTTATTCGAATCACAGAAAAATGCTATACACTGATTGGCCTTCTTTTAGTATGCCTTCATTTTCTCACTGTTCCTGCGTCGTGTTTGATGTTTCTTTGGGGGACTGTCTCAGACAACAGTTCCAGTGGTGTGACGTGGTGTATCACTGAAATGGGGCAGTGTGTCGTCTGGCGCTGAAAGCAAGGCTCTTTTTGCTGTGATGGCCGGCAGTGCTGGAACGCACCGTATTACTGTGTCGCCACCTGTCGCCGCGCTCTGAAGTTTTTTTATGAGAAGCTGAGATATTAAGCCTCCGAGATTGGTAGTTGTAGTTGCCGTGCTGGTCGTGTGTGGGGAAAACTCGTCGATGGTTGTCATCTGTTTCACATAATACGTCAGCGAATTTTATCGTGTACATGGAACCATATGCAAAGCTACAAAATACTGTGTAAAAGTTGCAGACAAAGCTTTCCTTCCCTGTCTGCAATTATTTAGAAGCTGTCCTAATGGTCAGTTAAAATGAGCATCCCAGGTACCTTCAAAAACGATAAACATTTAGTACCAAATCCCAGTAATAATATTCATTGGAGATAAAAAGCCAGCTATAGGCAAAACAAAGGTGTTTAAAAAAGGAGGGGCGGCAGAATAAAGCTGGGCTAACAACTCTGAAGTAAACTTTAGTCCCAACTTTGCTCTGTTACTTTTTTTAGGAGCGAAGCTTCTTGGGCCTGCACTCTGCCGTAGCCGTTGAAGCTCCCTACGCTGAGCAAGCGCGCCAAGGAGAACAACATGTGCGTTCCCACTTCAGCACGGCGTGAGAAAAGGCGCGACGGCAGATTGCTTGTGCTGCGCCACACACTCACTCGCTTAGTCGTTGCTGCCATTGAGCGCAACAGTAGCTCTCCCCACCCGCTTCCAACCCTACCGCCTTTATGAAAGCCAGCAGCGAGATGAAGCGCATATGTTTAGGTCCCATTATTAAGGAGCTTCGCTCATCAGTTGTAGTCGTATATGAAACAATTGCTAGTTTCTTTTTTTCTGTGTTCTTCCAAGCTGTGTAGATTGTGTATCGTTTATAATATCCGTGGGGAATAACTCGTGAGCTACGAGCATCAATTTGTAATCTTCATCCTAGACTCGAAGCTAACATTCTCCCGCAGGAGTGCACCTAACTGGGCACTTTGGTACATAGTTATCATGGAAACAAACAGTGCTGGCCACAGGATGCTGAAAGGACGACAGACGACGGTGCTGAACTAAGAACTAGTGATTTATTGCTGGGATATGCAAAATATATACTACAGAAGCTTTGTGCAGAAGAGCAACATAAAACTCTGTATTGGTGCAGGAATACTGTATTTACTCGCATAATTTGGGCTCTTGCATAATTTGTGCAGCCCTAGTATATTGTCAGCTTTGCGAAAAAAAATATTTACTAGCATATTTTGCACTCCCCGACCCGCCCGAGCCAGCTCGCCAGCGCGTGGACAAATGCTTTGGTCCTTTGGATTTTTTGCATGGGCGCGCTGGGTGCAGGCCTCGCTGATCAGGCGAGCGCAGTCAAATGGACTGCGAGCCCGAAGTTCCTTTTTCCAAGGACTTTCCCCGAACTGGTCTATGCTGACAGGTTGCCCAAACCGCTCGAGCGTTTTCCCAATTTTTTCCTCCATTGTTTTCTCCCCTCTATCCCTCCATTTCTATCACCATGGGCATACCCTCTTGCGTCACGGCACGGATAACTTTCGGCACTGAAGGCTTGCGAGGGCTTGCTTGTCACATCAACTGTTCCTCTGTTGTCTGCGTTCACACTGCAACGCACACTTGGTTGATTTCGGAAGTTTAGAATTCGCTAACCTTCCACCGCACTTTTCCTGTTTGTTTTTTCCGCGACGGGCTACAGTAATTATACATACGACAAAATTCAAGCTCGCTGTTATAAACTTTGCTGAAGAAAATGGGAATCGTGCAACGGCTGAGAACTTCAGCGAGAATTGCTTCAACGTGTGACGATCGGTGCAATTAGTACGAGAGAAAACAGAAGAGTCCGCGCTTGCTAACACAAGTTTCCTGCCCGTTGAAGTCTTTTTCAGTTATTTGCAAACGCCGGTATCGCTGGGTCTTTGGACTTATTCTCCCAGCATTGTCGAGAAAAGCGTCAAGAAAATGGCACATTCGAACGTGCTTGAACAGAACCGAGGGCAATGCGCTTTGGGAGCGCGGTGACAGCGGCCGCAATGATGATTCTCAATCGGGCCTCTCAATTAGCGATTCCGGCAAGACCGCGCTTGACCTGATCTGACTGGTTTAAGTATGGGCTAATTCCTTTAAATAAACAAGTGCACTTCGTTTGTGCTTTAAGGTATCAACTTTTTTATATTATATACTGTGTGCAGGACTATTGTACATTATTTTGTATGTGTTTGCCAAATTCACGCATAATTTGTGCTCCCACTTCTCGAAGTGCCAAAATTGCGAGAAACAGTGCACAAATTATGCGAGTAAATACACAAGACAGGAAATCGCCATGTTAGATGCATCTAATCTGCTAAACAGGCTGTTGCATTTTCAACAAGTAACTGATTTTGCAGCTATGCAGGGATAGTGACGGCACCAATACTGCTGACACTGATGCTGTCACCGGAATTTTCACGAAACAAGCTCTTTAACGCTATAACGTTAAAATCTTGCTTTAAGTCACTGCCAGTGTGAAGTACACAGAAAATATGACCCTTATTTTCTGTTTTCATAAATGCAGCAAATTTTGTTCAATATGGTTGAGGCATTATCTTGAAAAGATTGGATACATTGTGCATGTAGTTGAACATTGTATCTGCATTGGCGCAGATGACAGGCGCAAAATACATTTGTGAAACGGGATGAGCAGAAGAGAAGAAAGAGCGGCGCCGACTACCAGCTGTTTAATGACAGTCTAAGAAACACAAAGGAAAAAAGACATTTCCGCGCATGCGTGGACAGCCAACAAATGATGTACAGCGACACTGCAGTAAAATACCTATAATTTTGAATTTGACGGAAATGTATTTTTTCGATAGCGTGTCTTGAGGCTGTATGTCATTTGTTCGCTTTCAACTCATGCACGGAAATGTCTTCTTTTTCTGTGCATTTCTTAGTGTCATTAAACAGTTGATTGAAGGTGCTGCTTTTTTTTCTCTTCTGCTCCTCTCGTTTCAAGAAATGTTTTTTGCGCCTTAGTCATCTGCACCAAGTAAGCACCAACTTTCCCAAAATGAAGTATTTTTGGATTGATATGAAGTTAGCCTGAGGCGATGCCAATTTGGCAATTTTTCAGTTTAGTTCATCTGCACACTCTGCAGATGTTTGCTAGACGACAATATGTGTAAATTTAACTGTTGCCCCTCTACAATGGTCCTGCAGTTCCCTGAGCCAAGTAGTACTAATGGAAGCTGTGGATATGGTTACTGAACGAAACTGGGAGGGCTGTGTCCAGGACAGCGCTGTGGAAAGCTGCCTGCTTGTATTTACAGCAGCTGTGCAGAAACCAGGCAATTTGTGCCAGCCAAAGGTCAGTGCTCTGCATGTGCTTGAAGCATGATGACACTGTGGCAGGTGCTGCTGGTGGAATGACTGGGGTGTGGAAAGTTTTTTCGGTGTCATGGAGTGATTGGTGATCATTCTGGGATCCTGCTCACGTAGGGCTGGAAAGGATACGAGATGCCATTCTTATACAGAAAGATGTGCATCAAATGCAGAACTTTGGAGCTTGAGTCCAACTTGTTTGTGAGGTTTTTAGGGGCTGTGGAATATTTTTTAGTGTAGTGCTCTGACCCCTTGGGTGACTTGACCGAAAGTGCATAAGGCTTTCTTCTATTCCATTTTCTTCAGAATGCTGTTGCTTTAGCCAGACATTAAGCTCCCCACCTGGAGATTGGTAGTGGGATTTATGTGGTGTTTGACTTCTGAAAGGTGAAAGCATGTTTGCATTTTACCCCATTAAAAGCTGGTCTTCACGGCTAGGATCTGAGACTCATAAGCAGATTTCTCTGTAGGTCGATGTGTGATTACCAAGATAGGTTGCGTGCCATATTCTGAAATCAATATGTATTTCCTCCTTGCTTCCCCCTCCTCACTCTCCCCCGTTCCTTATTTGTTTTAATGCGAAGCATTTCTTAGTGAATCTCATCCACTTACAATCATTCTTTGAAACGTAGCTGGCGCTGTGCACAGGCCGAATGGAAGCGCTTTAAATTTGTAGTGGCCGCCTGGGGTTATGAATGCCGTCTTTTCGCGGTCGCGCTCATTCACCTCAATTTGCCAATATCCGCTCTTAAGATCAAGGGAGGAGAAGTATTTCGCACAACGTAGTCGATCGAGTGTATCATCGATACGTGGAAGAGGGTATACATCCCATTTCGTTACGCTATTCAGTTTCGGATAGTCGACGCAAAATCGATGGCTGTTATCTTTCTTTTTAACAAACACTACGGGAGACGCCCATGGACTGCTGGAAGGCCGGATTACGTCATCTGAAAGCGTCTCCTCCACTTGTTTCTTGATGACGTCTGTTTCCTTTTGCGATACTCGATATGGGCGTTGGTAAATCGGTCTCGTGGGCTTCTTCTGTTATAATCCTGTGTTTTGCAATAGCCGTGCGTCGCACCTTAGAGGACGTTGAAAAGCAGTCCGAAAATTCTTTTATAAGGGCGAACAATCGTTTATTTTGATATTCTGGGAGCCTATGGTTGACGTTAACTGATGCGTCGACGTTGCAGGTCTTTTGTGGAGTGGTTGGCGTTGTTGCTAAACTGCATAGTTCAGTCGCTATGCAGAACTAGTGGAAATAGGTGATAGCCATATCTTGCGCTATGTACTGACATTCATTCCCAAAATTCGCAAGGAGCACAACTGAGTGGCCATTCCTTAAGTGAACAACACCCCTCACCACGCAAATTCCTTTGTTTAAAAAGAGCTCTACGTTTCCATCCGCTATTCCTTCGTGGTCACAAAATGCCTTATTTTCAACAAGCACCATTACACTACAGCATGGTGGCACTGTGACGTCATCATCAACAACGCGCAGAGCAGTAAGACGTCGCTTTTCTGATTCCTCCACCGACATAGCTTGTTCGGTCGAGAATGTTACACTGGATCTTCGTAGATTAATTATGGCTCCATTGGCTTGCAGAAAATCCATTCCTAGTGGAAGCTCCCTTGAACAGTCCGGCAGTACGATGAAGTCAGCAACGTAAGTCATCATCATCATTATCATCATCAGCCTGACTACGTCCACTGCAGGACAAAGGCCTCTCCCATGTTCCGCCAGTTAACCCGGTCCTGTGCTTGCTGCTGCCAATTTATACCCGCAAACTTCTTAATCTCATCTGCCCACCTAACCTTCTGTCTCCCCCTAACCCGCTTCCCTTCTCTGGGAATCCAGTTAGTTACCCTTAATGGCCAGCGGTTATCCTGTCTACGCGCTACATGCCCGGCCCATGTCCATTTCCCCTTCTTTATGTCAACTATGATATCCTTAACCCCCGCTTGTCCCCTAATCCACTCTGCTCTCTTCTTGTCTCTTAAGGTTACACCTACCATTTTTCTTTCCATTGCTCGCTGCGTCGTCCTCAATTTAAGCTGAACCCTCTTTGTAAGTCTCCAGGTTTCTGCTCCGTAGCTAAGTACCGGCAAGATGCAGCTGTTATATACGTTCCTCTTGAGGGATAGTGGCAATCTACCTGTCATAATTTGAGAGTGCTTACCGAATGTGCTCCACCCCATTCTTATTCTTCTAGTTACTTCAATCTCGTGGTTAGGCTCTGCGGTTATTACCTGCCCTAAGTAGACATAGTCTTTTACAACTTCAAGTGCACTATTACCTAACGTAAGTAAAGCCTCTTATTTCGAGCCTTGAGGCGCATCTGTCAAGCGGTGTAATAGTGTGGCCACCTGCCGTGCATATCTGTGCCCCACTCCATTTCGTCACAACCTTCTTCAGTTTCTTAGCCAATTTGTGACTCATTACCGAATAATCAGCGCTGGTGTCAACTAAAGCATTTAGCTCGTATCCGTCTATTTTCAACCACAAATCTGAAGTAATCTTCGCACTGCTGCACTTATTCTCTGTAAACATAGCATCGTCACCTTGAAACCGTAACGGAAGACCTTCGCAACTGTAGTTATCAGCGGCCTCACCTCCACAGGTCGCTTGCTTCAGTTTTCCAGGTGTGGGCTTGTAGAACGGTGCCCAGACCATGCGGAAGAAGCACGTGGGCTGGGTGATCGGTAACGCCTGGGCGACGACGATCTTGGCTGATGTTGGCGTGGAGTAAGTGGGCTCTGGCGCGTGGACAAGTACTCTACGATCTCCGTTGGCCGTTCACCGTTTCGAGGGCATGGTGCGTACAACAGAAAGCCCCTTAATCCTGCCTGTCGGTAAGGGCAGAACCTATACAGGTGACCTGCTTCCCCGCAATGGAAACACAAAGGCCTGCGCTCATGGTCACGCCAGATGTCACTTTTCCGGGGCCTTTGATCCACGTAGCGAGCTACACCACGGGCTCGTGGCAGGTAGGTAGCCGTCGGTTCCAGTGGACGAGGTGCGCTGCGTACCGTCTGTGGCCAAGGAGAGGCCATTGCAACTGCTGCATTGGTGTGCGCCGCGGGCTGACTGAGTATTTCAGAGTACGTTGGGATGCGTTGGATCGACTGTGGCGCATGCTCCGGCTCACGTATTATCTGCCTCAGTTCATCTCTTACTACGTCGACGACAGACAGTGTTGTTGTAGTGTGAGATGCTTGCAACTTGCTGAGCTCTTCCCTGATCACCGACCTGATGAGTTCTCGCAGGGCGTCCATGTCACTTCGCTGGCCTCCAGAAAAGACATTGGCAGGTGCATAGTTTATGTCTCGATTGTACTGTCGAGCCCGCTGTTCTAGCGTTTTCTCGATGGCTCTCGCTTCCATATAAAACTCCGCAACTGTTCGTGGTGGGTTGCGGACGAGAACAGCGAATAGCTCTTGCTTCACCCCACACATGAGATGGCGTAGCTTCTTGTCTTCAGTCATATGGGAATCTGCGCGCTTGAACAGGCGGATCATGTCCTCGATATACATTGCGACACTTTGGTTGGTGAGTTGGTTTCTGGATTCGAGCGCTGCCTGCGCCTTTACTTTGCGATCCGCGCTGCCATAAGTCGCGAGAGCTTGTCGCCGAAATTCATCCCAGGTCGTAAAGTTTTCATGGTTCTCAAGTTTTCAAGTTTCATGGTTCTCATACCACGTCTTTGCGAAGTCCTCCAAAGCAAAGTATACGCGGCGGAGCTTCTCTCTCTCGTCCCAACCGTTCAAACTTGCCACTCTCTCAAAGAGGTTCAGCCAATCTTCTACGTCTCCATACGAGTCGTCATGAAATACTGGTGGCTGGTGAGGCTGATTTATCACCACTTGGGCCGGCGTTACATGACTTGTCATGGTGGTGGCGTCCTTTGACTGAGTTCCCCTTGGCGTGAAGTGGAGTGGACTGAATTCTGGTGAATCACCTCGAAGACGGCGACTGGTCCTCTAATGCACAGGTGTCAGCTCCCCAGGATCAACTCGCTGGTGGTTGGGGCTACGCTGTCTTGCGTTCGTAGGGCTTTGATTCATTACCCAGCACCTCTACCAGAAATGTAACGATGTTAGAGGACTCGGGGTGTAATAAAACGTATTTATTAAAGAGCGAACCTGTGCCCACAACTCAAAGGGACTATGGTGGTGGCACGTTACAGTAGAACACCAAAGATGTCTCCTTCTTTTACTTCTTCAAGATGAGCCCAAGCGCATGGCGCACATCAGGCGGGGCCAGCTGGGTTCTCGTGCTATCATCATCGTCTCTGCGCAACACTAGACGGCGCGCATGTATGTCCCTGTGCGCGCGGTGATGGGCGCATTGTTTGAATGCAGGCAATATGTCGTGGCAATATTGTTGGCCAACTGTACGTAGCATAAGCATAGGGTTCTCTTCAATATACTGATTATACTGCTGAGGCTCCATCAAATCATACGTCGGCAACTGTTGTTCAGTCTGAGAAGAACTACAGAAACTGCTTTCCGCTGCGAACAGTTACCTGCTATGATACAGCTTCTCAATTGAGCTCGTCGTGATTGCTAGGATTCGTTGAACATGGATGTGAAAAAAATAAGTGAATGAATGAATAGATTGATGTGGCACGGGTGATGGTCACCAGATGAGGTTCTTTTTTGGGGGGAGGGTGAGTTTTCACGCACAACGTAATGACACTAGTGTGATGTGGTACTAAACAAAAAAAAAAAACCACAAGCACTGTAAAAAAAATCATTATCGAGAAAAACAATAATTTCCTGATAGCGAAAATACGAAAATCAGGTATTATATTATGATTATGTGGTGTAAGTTACGTCATGTGACAGTGCTGTCATGTTATTATGACAACACGAATTTTGAAACCACTCATCATGGCATCATATTGTGACGTCATCTCATGGTGATTTTTGCATCGCCTGTTCCCAACGATGCGAGACGTCTTTGGTGTGGGACACCGCCAGTCT